TTTTATATACTTGAAAACTGTTATCATGTTCCCTCTGTCTTCTCTTCTCCATACTAAACAAACCCTAATTTTTTTCAATCTTCCCTCATAGGTCATGTTTTGTAGACCTTTAATCATTTTTGATGCTCTTCTCTGGACTTTCTCCAATTTGTCCACATCTTTCCTGAAATGTGGCGCTCAGAACTGGACACAATTAGGACTCCAGCTGAGGCCTAATCAGCACGGAGTGGAAGAATTGCTTCTTGTCTTGCTTACAATACTCCTGCTAATACATCCCAGAATGATGTTTGCTTTTTTTGCAACAGTGTTACACCGTTGACTCATATTTAGCTTGTGGTTCACTATGATCCCCAGATCCCTTTCCGCAATAAGAATTAGGGTTGTCCCCTCTTTTGATTTTTATATAATATATAAAAAAGTCCTGAAAGTTTTTGGACAAAAAAATTATTTCCTGTTTGTTTTTTACATTAGGAATTTAGGATTCGTCTGCAACAGTAAGAATATGTCTGCAGTGCAGATTAAGGTGTGATTGCAACATGGGTTTTAAGTTAACTTGTGTGAGTAATAGCAGCGAAGATGTGGCAGCATGGACCCTGGGCAGGGCTAGCAACCCAAGTATGTACCTAGAATCCCTGGCAGGCTGGTACTGGAGTGGCTAGCCTGTGCTGAAGCTCGCACCACCACGTCCTCACTACCACTGTTACTCGCACCAGCTAGATTAAAGCTAGCATGGGTATGTCTAACCGCACTGCAAACATACCATCATTTGTGGTATAGATGTACCATTCGATGACTGACAGGAGGGCTAGTGGAAATGAGAGCTAGTCAGTGTGAGTTAAATGTGCAAGGGCTATTTTTATCTTTAAATATCTCTTCCATTGTTCCTGAGATTTCTAGAGTAAAAAGCTATCAGGAAGAAATTGGTGAATTCTTTCAGGGAGAGAACATTTTCTGGTCATTATTGTACATCAGCAAGAAGCAGAAAAAGAGACAGTTCTAATTTAAAAAAGCAAAAAAATAAAAATAAAAAAATACCGCATGCTTTTTAGATCATCTTTAAAAGATGATGGCAGTACAAGAAGTATTGTTGAGAAGCAGCAATGAAAGAGTTAAATCTATGCTTTAACACAATACATCCTTGCGTAGCAGGTTATTATATAAATGGATGCAATCTTAATTTAATACATTTATTTCCAGATTGTCCTCATGAATACTCTTGTGGAGGATGTCCATGATCCTCTTTGCTTGTGTGGTGAGAGTGAGGGACGGACTTCCACTTTCAGCCTCTACGGATTTTCATCTCAACCAGGACTTTCTTGAATGCAGGAAGAGACTGAAGGCATTATCCCTAATTCTGGCACAGTATCCTGATCGCGGCACAGCAACAGAGCGT